CCCCCCTCCCCTCCCGCGTCTCTTTTCCCTCCCATGAGCTACAACCTTGAAATCAAACACATGCAAAGCGAATCAAGTTTCGGAAACAGAAATCTTCAAAATTCATAGGCTTAAAAAATAACCCATAGAAGCGGCAAGAAATTATGTATGTAGCTGAGGATTACATGTGTGGACTTCCATACTGGAACTGCCGACTTCCTACGTGCTCAAGACGTCTCACACTATCAGTTATACCCGTTTCTGCTGCATATTTTTGTCACCCCACTTCCCCTTCGCCTCTCCACCCTTGTTGAGCCTCTATACCAGTTAACTGTCTTTCTTCTTAGATTTATGAAATAGGAGTGCAACTCCACTAGGCTCGAAACATAGATCGTCCCATTTGCTCATCACTGTTCACTAGTCATTGTTCTCATTTGACAAAATATCTGTTCACACATGAAAGCATGAACCATTAAATTATGATGCTAAGAGGAGTTTCATCCAAGTCATCGCCATCACTTTTTCCAATTTGCCCTGATCTGTGTGTCTTTCTATAGGCAGAAACACAAATTACTTACCTTGTCCATTCAGATCACTTGGTCGTCGGCTTGACTTCGGCGTGTCAGACAGTGAAGAGCGAGATGCAGTTGGAGTACGCTTAGCGAAATGCATTGGCATACTACGTTCTGTCTTTTCCCGAATCTAAAAAAGTTATGTTCATCACAAAAAAGAAAAATCTTTCTTCTGAAAAATTATTAAAAAAATAAAACTTAAGAACTTCAAAATTTATAAAAACTTAAAAACTCGAAAAAACAAAAAAAATCATTTCCCAAAATCATGACACGTCTACGTAGCACAAGTCCGATAAAAAGTGTAGGATATGCAACCAACTTGCTTCTAGCTGTAGCTGGATATCGTCTTAAAAACTGCTTCCTATCCAGTATAAAACTTGTGCATTGCGATATGGAATTATGATGAACGTTCCGCAAAATTACTTTGGTAATTGGGCCGGGTGTTGCATGGAAACGAGTTTGCAGCAGTGGTTCCTGGAAACCGCGAACCGGCGAATCTCGACTTGGTGTTGAGCGCGCCGACTTGATGAATGTTTCCATCGTATCATACGCATCCTTCGGCCGCACATCATCATAGAAATTCCGTTGCAAATCAAGATTTGTTCGACCTTTTGCTGCAAGATTTTTTTTTGTTGAAGGTCAGCTGTGGAAATAATTGGCCAACATACGGGCTGCCCGTGCGAAGATGCGTTTTTTGCATAGTTCCCAGCAGTTTTTGTTGTTACCGGCACCGGCTTTTTCGGCAAATGCTTCTAGCTAAACAAATTAAGACTGGCCGCCAGAA